AAAAAAAAAAAAAGTTTCATAAAATGATACTTTTAGTGAAATGTACTCTGATATGTTCTGGGTTTTTTCCTGTTTATTGTTGTTTGGCACTCATTAAACTTACTTTGTAACCCATTAGTGGGTTACTGCTTGCACTTTGGAAAACCTTTATTGAACTAGATCTTGGAAGTGCATTCCTGCTCTATAATTTTAAATTAGCTAATGTTATCACACACCATCTGTGTGTCAGCAGTGATTCTGGTCTCTGCTAGTGTCTGTATCTTGCACCTTTGTTTGACGTAAAAAGAAACACAAGGGAGCTTAAATGATACATCCAAGGTCAGAGAACCAGTAAGCAGCAGAGCTCAGATTTAATCCCAGGTTATCTCACTCCCCAGTGCAGAACTTTTCTGTGTTCCTGCTCTTTCCTTTCCAGATTCACCTGAGATCATTCATTCCATCCCCACCCCGCACGCTCCTCAATGTTCGACATTTAATCATCATTGGTCTATGCAAATTTTTTCCTTTAATTTTTTTACCCCTTCATTCCCAATGCTCTACTCTCTTCTTTTCCCCAGGGGATCCCATCCAATTCTGATGTTTTGATACGTATCCTTGGAGTATGTTTGTACCCTTGAAAAGCTAAATCATTATTCATATATTATGCATTTAAATTTCCACAAATGGCATGGAGCTATGGATCATTTTCTTCACCACTTTTTCAAGATCTATTCATGCTTTTGCATGTACATCTAATTCTTTGCTTCTAACAGCTGCATGGCATGGTATTCATTTACCATATTTTATTTATACATTCTCCTGAGGTTGAAGACCTAGATTGCCACCTTCTTCTGGCCCCACAAAATGCCACCATGAGCATACTTGCACATGTTCTCTTTGGTTCTATGCCAGAGTTCCATGTGATTATAGCTGGGAGTAGAAATGTTAGATCACAGGACACATACATATTGAACTTTAGTAAATATTTTCACTTTGCTCTCCTGAATGGTTATAGTACTTTATACTCATGTTCAACAATGCATAAGAGATTCCATTTCTGCATGTGGTCAACAACACATAGCGTCATCTAACTTTTTTATTTTGCCAATCTGATGAGTATAGAATCATCTCATTTGAGAGATGATGCATGTCTCTGATAACTAATGAGGTTAAGCTTCTTTTCACATATTCACTAGCTTTTTTGGTTTCCCCTTATATGAATTGCTTATTCATATTCTTTACCAAATTTGTTACTATTTCCTTTCTTTTTGTTGTTGCTTTGCAGGAGAACCTTGCATATTTTCATTTAGTTTCTAGGGAGAATTAAGCACTATTGCATTAGGGCATATGTTATATATGGTTAGTCTAAGGTGATAAACATAATAAATTAACTTTTGCCCTAAGCATCTGGAATGGTACTTTTTACCTACCATACTTGGGAGAGTTCAAAAAATACTCAAATTATTTGTTGGTTTTGAGATTCAGATGAGGAACCCCAGTTAAGAAAGTCTCTCCTAGATAAGAATTTCTGGACTAAATGTTGCCGGTATTTTCTCTTGGAATGTCACCTATCTGTGGCATCTGGTATTAAACAGAAATCTTTGACTTTTTAAATTTATAAATAACCACTTATTTTTAAAGCAATATTAATGATAGTATGAACTGTAGACATTCAGGAAGCATTGATGACCAAAAAAATAAAACACCAAATATCCTTCAAGTCTTTGCCTGTGTGTGATGTGTATGTATGTTTGCCAAAATCCAATCATGTAGGAACTGTTTTGTAATCTTTTATTGTTGTTGTTAATAATTGCCATTTTTCTATATCAATAAAATTTTATTTAATGTCCAGGGCATACACCAGTTTCTCCAGTTGTTCCAGAAATGTCTTTTATAGCTGGTTCATCTAGACCAGGATCCAGTCTAGATCCTTGTATTCCATCTGGTTGCTATGTTCTGTAAGTCTCTTTCAATCCAAAATGGTCCCTTTTTTGCTTGTGATACTGACTTTTTTTTTTAAATATGGAATTACTTTACTATGGGTTTATATTGCAAAATAAAATTGTCTTCCAGAAAATTAAAACATAAAACAACTCGGTAAGGGAATATGGTAGCTAATTATTTACAAACTGATTTAAAGACTAGACATTAAATCAGCAATACGTAAGAGATCCCATTATTGAAGGTTGTCCCATTATTTTCCTAAGTCTAATATCTCCTGCATGAACTATTTTTTTTTTTTTTTTGAGACAGAGCCTCAAGCTGTCCCCCTGGGCAGAGTGCCGTGGCATTACAGCTCACAGCAACCTCCAACTCCTGGGCTCAAGCGAGTCTCCTGCCTCCGCCTCCCAAGTAGCTGGGACCACAGGCGCCCGCCACAACGCCCGGCTATTTTTTTTTTGGTTGCAGCTGCCATTGTTGTTTTGGCGGGTCCGGGCTGGGGATTCGAACCGGCCACCTTAGGTGTACGTGGCTGGCGCCTTAGCCGGTTGAGCTATAGGCGCCGAGCCTGCATGAACTATTAATACAAGTTTTCTTGTTAAAGTATAGTTTGTGGCTTGGCGCCTGTGGCTCAAGCGGCTAAGGCACCAGCCATATACACCTGAGCTGGCGGATTTGAATCCAGCCCGGGCCCGCCAAGCAACAATGATGGCTGCAACCAAAAAATAGCTGGGTGTTGTGGCGTGCACCTGTGGTCCCAGCTACTTGGGAGGCGGAGGCAGGAGACTTGCTTGAGCCCAGGAGTTGGAGGTTGCTGTGAGCTGTAATGTCACAGCATTCTACCCAGGGGGGCAGCTTGAGGCTCTGTCTCAAAAAAAAAAAATAAAATAAAGTGTAATTTGTTCAGGCAAGATCACAACATAAATTTGCTTTATAAATTTGATTAAATATTATAAACATTTGAGAAAAATACATGTTTAATATTCTCAGCACTCAGAACACTGTATAGGCAGTGGTTTCTATCAAATTTTCTCTGGCAATTATTAAAAGTCTTTTTTTTTTGCAGTTTTTGGCGGGGGCTGGGTTTGAACCCACCACCTCTGGCATGTGGAGCCAGT